TTGTGGGTGATGGTTTTGGGGTAAAGTGGTATTGTCCAAGGGTAAACAAGTATGTCTGAGTTGAATGCAACTTTCAGATCTGGATTTACACGTAATCATGTATATGAGTTCATAGTCCGGAAATCATGTAATTTGAACTTGGAACTTTGGGGTGGATTGTTTTGGGGCAATCTGGTATTTTCCAAGGGTAAACAAGTATGTCTGAGTTGAATGCAACTTTCAGATCCACATTTGCACGTCTGCAGAAAAAGTTATGGTCTCATATACATAGAAATCATGTATATGAGTTCATAGTCCGGAAATGATGTGATTTCAACTTGGAACTTTGGGGTGGATTGTTTTGGGGCAATCTGGTATTGTCCAAGGGTAAACAAGTATTTCTGAGTTGAATGCAACTTTCAGATCTGGATTCACACGTCTGCAGAAAACGTTATGGTGAAATAACTCATAGAAATCATGTATATGAGTTCATAGTGAGGAAATCATGTAATTTCAACTGGGAACTTTGGGGATGATTTTTAATTTTTCTTGGGACTATGGGGATGTTTTTTTTGGGGCATTCTGGTATTGTCCAAGTGAGTTTAATCCAACATCCAGATCCATAAATGTTTGTTATTAGAAACAGTTATGATGGAAGACTCTTGTGAAATCACCCAGTTCAAATGACTGGTTTTTACAGCTTGTAACACCAATCAAACCAGAAATGAAAGATGATTTCATTTCAGCTACAGCTTTGGTACCATAGGAGACACCAATCTACCACACCCACGGAGGTCTTACCTTTGTGAAGCACCACAAACACATATGTGTTTTTGGTGTGTTTTCACATCTAAAATTTTTCACCATACACCCTGGAGGCAACGGGGGAAACCTTGGCCTCAAAGCTCCAATCAAATCAGACTCACATTTTTGAATGGAGCAATCCTTCAATACCCCAGAATAACCAGGTGTCAACTTACAAACCATATCCAAAAAGTTGGAACATCTTGTTTTTGCGACGAGTCCCACAAATCATCAATCAAAACATCACATTTCCTCCAACTAACACAATTGAAAACAAATATCCAAAGGAAACCTATCTAAATGAAACATCTTTCACAAAGACAATATTTCCCCTTCGACAACAAAAGCAATGAAATGATCAAACTTTTTTTTGGGGTACTTTTCCCACAGTAAAAGCACGAGTAAATGAAAAATGAAAAATGAAACTGTATTTTGAGTGGTAGATTTTTATTTATAATTGAACGGGAAGGAAACAATAACAATATACAATCGGTAAGTGCTCAATTTGTTTTAGGCGCCTTGAAGAGGGCTGCAACCTTAGCTTCCCTTTTCAATTTGGCTCTTTCAGCGCGAAGCGCCTCATCAGCAACTTTTCTAGCATGTTTGAAACTTGTCTCCTGTTCATAACTTTTCACCCTGGACTTCCTATAGTCTTCCCACTGCGCTGGAGTCATGTTTTCTTTGGTTTTTTCAACCAGGCTGATACGTTCCACAAGGGTTTCTGCTATCTGGCAGGAAGAACCAAAGCGTGTGATAGCACACATTTTAGGACAGATTTCTTCCCCTTCCTCATCAAAACATAATGATTCAGCTGTATAATGAGACACCTATAGGAGAGATATCATTCGAGTCAGACGAAATCACATGATTGGACTTGAGCTGATGAATTAAAAAAACCTACTGTGGTATCCCAAATACTCTCATACATACCATCGCAACCATCATAGTCTACAACTATATCAAAGTCCCTCATAATAAACATTGAACCAACGATGGAGCCCTTATTCACAGGTCCATTAGCTTCATGTAGGGCACCTGTGACTCGATCAATTAGGCAATTGAATCCAAATGCATAACGGGTATGATCAAAATCAGTGTGTGGTTCATTATGGAAACCTTCACAGGTTACAATCAAGTTGGATGCAAAAACTCTTCCATTCGGAGTTCCAGCCCATGCCAAGTCATCAAACCCTGGAACATTCGTATCCATGCCAATCTGAAGATTTGAAATAAAGATCATGAAGGACAAAGATGCAAATCTTTCGGCCCAGAAGTCTCGAATGCGATGAAAAGAGGTCATGAGGGAAATATCCGCATCAATTCTTTGAGCATCATTTGAAGTGAAAGCGCTAAGAGCATAAGGGCCTGCCACAAACATATCAGCTTTCAATTGGCGTTAGGGATGGAGGAGTCAAAGACAGAATTTCACTAACTGACCCGCAGAATAACCAGGGTCTGAACCTCCTCTCCACCCTAAATGCCCCATCCAACCCCAATAAATTCCTTCCTCTTTGAAGGTCTGAACGGCACTGTTGGTCTCACATCGATTGCGAGCTCGGGCTGCTTGGTAGGTAGATGAAATGCAATTTTGAAAAGCCTCCTTCAGGACTGGATCCATGTCTTTGAACTTCGTGCATCTAACTATGATAACAACTGATAGATCTTCTGCATTGATAACTACTACTGTTCCCTGATTGATATAGATAGGTTGTCTTTCAAGTATAGGGAAATCTTTCGTCGAAGGCCATCTAAATATAAAAACGGTATCCTGAGGTAGTCCAAGTTCACAAGTAAGTCTTGATTTGAGTTCGGCTCGCTTACGATGCCGGCGCGGATAAATTCGTCCCAGGCTTTCCTTGTAGTAAGCCTTCCACCTTTCTTGGCGCCTTTTCAAAGCGCAAGGAGACGTTTTGGACTTGAAGTTCTGTTTTGGAAGGCCGTGCTTGGTGGCTTGTCTGTGTCGAGCCTGGCGAGACATGATGTTCGAAGAGAGATGACCACAATACGAAGGAAGCAAAAGCGAGCCGTATGACTAGTAGGATCGTAGCCGGAGGCCTACAACACTCCAATCAAACAACCACGGCAGATTCTAACTTTGATTGGGTAATCTTGATTGTTCGGTTGAAGCAACCTATGTAGTGAACAAAGATTTTGATGAATCAGTAAGAAATAAATAAAATAGAATTGAAAGATTGAAGGAAAAAGTTTAAGATATGATCGGGACCACTTTAAGCTCACTTCGATGGGTTTCCTATTCAGAAAGAAGATGATAAAATGTATTGTCAGTTTAGGATGAGATCATTTAGCTGGATTAAATGTATGAAAACTTACGATAAGAACTTCTGCTTGGTGTAGAAGGTAACAGGAACAGGAAAATTAGAATGAGTTTGAATCGATTTGACTGAATGAATTAGGTCTCGTTCTCCGTTGATATGGCTATACTTTGATTTCTGAGTGTTGATTGATTGAAGAATGTCTCTAGGTGAAGAGATTGGGCGACATGGACTAGAGAGGTGACTTGTGTGAGGCTGAGATAAGGTGATCCTTGTGTGTGAGTTGGTGGGTAAGGGGTGAACCAGGATAAACGAAGATGGGGGAAAGTAGAGATGGGGAAGGGAAGGCCGGTACCGTGTGATACGGCCCCGGTACAGGTCTGGTGATAACCCTAAGCGGTTGTCACCAGGTTAGGGTATGAAATGTATCGTGGCCAAGTGGTGAGTGATGGATACGATTGCAGGTTGATTCTTAACCCTAAGCGGTTATCACCAGTATAGGGTTAAGAATCAACCTGTATGACATCCCCCCTTGTGTGTACACCAATGTGTAGGTGTATAATCCAGTGTTTAGTGTGAAGGGTCTTACACACTACACACCGGAGTATACACCTACACACCGGGGTACACACAAGTGTATGTAAGGAACACCAGTGTTTGCTGAAGTGTGTACACTAAACACCGGTGGACAGGCCTGTGTGTACACTAACCACCGGTAGATACATCTTCGTGTACACAACGCCGTGGTTTACGCCGGTGTGTACACTAAACACAGGTGGACATACTGGAGTTTAGTGTACACACTGGTATACCAACCTTCCCATACATCAAACATTGGTCCACAAACTGGTGTGTACCGGTGTACACTGAATATACACCGGTGTTCAGTATACTAATCTGTGTGTACACTAAACACCGGTGTGTACACCAAACATCTGTGTGTACACCTCTGTGTGTACACTAAACACCAGGGTACACCCCTGTGTGTACACTAGCTAAACACAGGTGGGGAGTATACACACCTGTGTGTACACTAAACCTCTGGTCCCCTGTGTGTACACTAGCTAAACACAGGTGGGGAGTATACACACCTGTGTGTACACTAAACCTCTGGTGACGCCTCTGTGTGTACACTAAACACGAGTGTACACCTATGTGTGTACACCAACCGCTGGTGTATACCCTTGTGTGTACACTTTAGACATCATCCCCTTGTATAACCTTTTAAATTCAGAATCTTGATTGAAATCCAAATTTGTTGTTCAATCAGATGGAGAACATATATTTTATATTTTAAACAGACAAGATAAACAAAAGAAGGTTACTTTTCATGTTAATTGAGATAAACAAGGTCAAGCTTTACTTCCAAAGAAAAAGGAAGTTACTATTCCCAAAACACAAAATATTTTATTAATCATCACCCTGTAGTTGCCCTTTATTGACCCTTCTACGCCACTCCCGGAAAAGCCGTATGTTAGGAGCAAACCTGTCCTCCCATCCAATTGCTTCATCAAACCGTGTTTCAAACCACTCTGTGGGGACGGAGGGGATTGGAAGGGTGGGAGAGAAATACAATGAGACGTTCAAATCATACCAATGATGATAGGCTCCACATCTTCGGGAGGAGAGAAGAAAGGCGGAACAGTGGAACTGTTGGGAATGCAGTCAGAATATAAGATGACTGGCCTCTTGAAGGTGTTAGATACTATACATAAGCCGCCTGGAAGAGGGTACCAAAGGTCCGACGTGGCCACTAGCTCCTTCCACTCCAGGATTTCAAGCATCTTTTTGACTCCAAAAGTCGGTGATGATACGTGATCCAGGTTTTCCTCATACCAATCAATATTTTCCTTAAAATGCTCGAGCATTTCACTTCGAACGGCTGGTGCCTCTGATACATTGCGGCCAAGAGAAACTGCCACAGAAGCAAACAAGCATAATCCACTAGGGGGAACATTGGCTGCGTGCCTGATGAAGGGGTATAGTTTGCCGGGAAGATATTTCAGGAAATCCCAAGTCTACACAGGTGAATGTTAGAATATTTATCGGAAGAAACAAAAATTCAAAGTACAAAAATTTACTTACCTGAAGGACAGGGTGTCGTGATGATTTTGAAGGGGGTCTTTCCTTTTTGGGTTTCACCAACACTGTGACAGACTTTTAAATGATAATCAGGTATTGATTGTCAAAAACCATTAGTTAAAAAAAATCACTAACCTGTTTTTGGGTACGGGTGCGCTTTCTTTTGTGTTCATCCTGAAAAGATAGGAGAAGTTTCAATATGATTAGATATATATTGAACCTCGAATTAATATCAACTGAAAAAAAAACACGTACATTTTCAGCTTCAGCATCAGCCTGCATTTTGGAAGCCTTTCGAGTAACTCTTGGGCTGATAGACTCAGCTGATGTTGATTGAGGGGGTGCTTGAGGAGGTTTGGTGACATGCTTGATGACTTTTGCTGAAGTATTTGGACTCTCTTCTGGATGTTTGACAGATTGGGTGAGAGGAGAATGAGAAGCCGGAGAATCTGATCTAGGTCGAGGATGGTGCTTTAGCTGAGTCATTACGTGGTTATTTGAAGATTCTTCATCAGATATCTTGGATAGTGGTGAGGACTGGGGGGTCGTCGTGTGTTGGATTGCCTTTTCTTTTCCCTAGGACATATAATACATGGGAACATCATGAGAACATTATTTATTTGAGCGGAATGTTTTTAAGAAGGATATGGAAGAATATGAACTTACTTTTGAACATTGTACATCTTCAGTGGGGATTTGATGATTGGTATCAACTCCTTCATTAACAACATCTTCTTTGTCATCAACTTCTTCCTTTTGAATGTCAGCTTCAGCTTCATGTGTTTCAGTTGATGTAAGTTCAGCTTTGCGATTTTCATTTAATGTAGTGTTGTTAGGATGGATAGTAACTTGCTGGGAAATGATCTGAGATGTAGTGTTAGTGAGAGCTTCAGCAAGCTGAAGCTCTGACATAAAACGGGCGAGGAGGCAGGTCTGAGAGTGATTTGGCAGGGCTTGCATTCGTGTAAATAGTGATGTGTATTGATGTTGTATGTAAGGATTGGATGATTGAGAAGATGATGGAGTGTTTGAAAGTGATTCGATATTTGGAATCACCATATTGAGATGGGTTGGTGGTTGAGAATGAGGTTGAGTGCTGGAAGACGTCTCAGCACTGGCAGGTGGCTTTCTTTGACGGGAGTGAGCTTCGATAGGAATGTGCTCCTCGGAAGGTTCGTGATCATGCTCGGGATTCCCAATTTCGATTACAAACCGACGAGTCTTTATATTACGTCTTGCAGTTACTTCAAATGGGCAAGTCGGAATTTCGGGTAGATTGGGTGACTGGGCTTTGATAGCGTCAGACAGAAGCTTCTTCTGGTATCGATTGGGACCGAGGTAGCATTTGAGTGTGATGAATGATGGTCTGGTGTCGGATGTTGTGACAGCGTAGTAATTTTGATGAGCATGTTCTTTAAGATACGCAGCAGCTTCATCACGAGTTGCAAAGGTACACCCAGCCTCGGGGATAGGTATTGTTTGAGTTGGGCTTTGGTTAGTAACCGAGTTTGTGGTGAGAGTATCAGACATGGTGCTTAAGTTGATTTGTAAGTTTATTAATTTGATTTGAAATCAGAAAGTTATTATATTGAGTTTGTTTAAGTAGCTTGTGATTTAATTATTCAATAATGTAATAAAAAAAGATAATTCAAGAATTTGAAACTTCTAGCATTGAGCAAAGAAAAGGAATGGGGATAGATCGATTTTTGATTTGGGTGTACTAATGTGTAAACAAAGGAGTTCAGTGGTTAGTATTGGTGTGTAGTGGGTTAGGGCAAGTATGTAAACTTACTTCCAAGAGAATGAAAGAGGAGTGGTTATCGATGATTGATCTCGATTTTTGATTTGAGAGGATGTGTGTACTAATGTGTGAACAAAGGAGTTCAGTGGTTAGTATTGGTGTGTAGTGGGTTAGGGCAAGTACGTAAACTTACTTCCAAGAGAATGAAAGAGGAGTGGTTATCGATGATTGATCTTGATTTTTGATCTGAGAAAGGTAGTTATCGATGATTGATCTCGATCGTCGATTTGAGAAAGGTATGTGTGTACTACTGTGTGAACATAGGAGGTTAGTGGTTAGTATTGGTGTGTAGTGGGTTAGGGCGAGTATGAAATGTAAACTTACTTCCTGGAGAATGAAAGAGGAGTGCGGTTGATGATCAATCTCGAATTTTTGATTTTAGAAAGGGTGTTATATCTGATTGATCTCGATTGTTGATTTGAGAAAGGTAGTTATCGATGATTGATCTCGATTGTTGATTTGAGAAAGGTAGTTATCGATGATTGATCTCGATCGTTGATTTGAGAAAGGTATGAGTTTACTACTGTGTGAACATAGGAGGTTAGTGGTTAGTATTGGTGTGTAGTGGGTTAGGTCGAGTGTGAAATGTAAACTCACGTCCTGGAGAATGAAAAAGTGTTTATTGATGATTGATCTTGATAAGGAAGGAGATGTGGTGTGGTATGGCTGTGTAGTTAGTTGATAGCAGGGTTGATGTGGCGCCTGGTGGTATGGCTGGGTGCAGTGGGTAGTGGTTGAGAGAAGTTGGTGGTTAGTGTGCGAATGAGTGGCTTGGTGAGACTGTGCAGTTAGGTTTGCTGCTGTGTATACGTGTAGGCATTACATGTTAAACACATGTATAACCACATGTACACACAGCATCAAAGTCTACATCAGCCTACGGCTGTGTATACACTGTGGACTACAGCACACATATGTATATGTGTAGCCACCGATATGTGAGCTGTGTTCACACAGCTTCAACGGTGTGTACACAGTGCTGTACACAGGTGAAGACTGGTAATTCACACATCTAGGGCTGGTGTGATCACCGGCATGATCAACATGTAAGTTTTGTTGAAGGTAGAATGCCTGGTACGTGCTTGAAGGTGGTTTGGATACTTCTTGAGAGGTTGCTCAATCTTGGTAGAACTTCAAAGAGGTCTTGGTATGTTTCGACAATGGCCTCAGAGGCATCTGAGACATCCTAAACACATCTGGCGCTATATATGGGATACGTGCCAAGGATGCGTTACACGTTTTCCTCGGTACAGGTCCAAGTTTCTAGTGTACACGAGGAGTGCCAATTTGGCAAGGGACTACCTTGCTTTTGCAGGTACCACTTGCTCTGTGGAACGAGTATTTTCCGGTGCAGCAGATGTCTGTTCTCAGGATCGCACTGGTCTGATTCCAAGTACCATCACTATGTCTGTATGTTCACGCGAGTGGACTAAGGATGGTGTAGACCCTGGTGGTGAGTATGGGGATGCCATCAAATATGTCAATTCTTACTCAGATGAACGGGCTAAAAATAAAAACAAAAGGGTAATCAACATGGTAGATTGAATATATTACGATGTTATACTATTATATAACATTAAATTTTTAAATTGTGAATTTTTTTTCTTTTTTTCTTGATGCAATCGAGTGCCTGCGAAAAATGCGGTCTGCGGCGCGGTGCGCCCCATTTCAGCGCGCTGCTGCCTCACTTGGGTTTTTGAAACTGAGATTGTGCTGCGGTGGGGATACGTAGCCACTGGGGTAAACCCCAGCACTGTCCCAGTGGACCCAAAATGTGGCGCGCCACGGCAGGGTTTGTGCGTTGCTAGTAGTACCCACTGGATGGGGGAAATGTCCCTCTCAATGGGAAGATTTCTGAGGTGCAAAAAATAATTGGATTTTTGAATAAAGCAATCATGAAGGAACCTAGAAAGAATCATCTTTGAGTTCTCATTTTGTTTTGATCAAAAGAATGTTTTCCCTTTCTCTCTTTTCTATTTGTTTTTGTTCTATAAACTCCTTTACAAAGTTGCTTTTTCTTTTTTTTACACCCCTTTACTCCACAGTATGTTCTCTCTGTTCTTTTTTGAAATACAAAACACATTTTTCTTTTCAAAAAAACATTACTTTTTTGCCTGTAAAGCCCATAAGCGCTGCAAGGAAAAAGCACACTCCTAGTTATTTTTTTGCCCCCAAAAAAGCCTCTCACTACTGCTAAAGCTACCAAGCTTGAGTGAGTCTTTTTTGCGCTACACCTCCAGTTTTCACGTGAGTGGTGCTGTGTAGCGCTGCAAGCCAGGCTTGGCTGGTGCACACAATCTCTCTTGCAAGGTTGTACTTGTTCACAAAGTCAGTACTCAATGGTCATCAACCCACAACTCACTTGAGCAATTCTTTGAACTCAAGAGAGTCATCAAGTATCACTGTGACGGAAACCCAGTCTTATCCAAGTTCAACCTCATGGAGAATGAGTGGGATCTAGTGGGAGGCATTGTCCAATTTCTTTTCCCTTTTGCTGTTGTTATCAAATCAATCAAAGGATCAAAATATCCAACTTTCTCAGAGGCAATGCCTGATTACCAATGGATAGTTTGACGTCTTGAAGCTGTAAGTTATTTCTTGCACTTATTTTCTTTTTTTTAAACTTTGATTTCTGCCTTGCTTATCATTTGCTATTTCTCTATCTAGGCTTGGCACAATTATGAGTCCCACAACATGCGGGGGGATATCTTACTGATGCTTCAAAAAGTTCAACAGTACAAAAAGGCTGCCCTCCCAAAGTCTGTCTACATATATATGTGCCCCTATCTTAGATCCTCATCACAATCTCTCAGCAATCAACTCTACTAGCTTATCTTCGCTTGGATGGACCAAGGACAAACTTGTTGAATACTTTAATCAACAGCCAAAAGATTCAAACCTCCTGCTGACCCCAAAATCAAAGTTGTTGACCCAGAAGTCCAAGACCAAACTAACCATGATGACATACCTTGACACTTTATAAAGTTTTGCAAGACCATCTCAATTTGAGACCAAGTCAGGGAGTACCTCAGTTTGACAATCAAGGATGAAGATTGTGATGCCTTACCTTTCTGGAGAAGATCACAGTGTAACTGGCCTATTCTTGCTTGCATGGCTAGTTCCATGCTTGCTGTTCAAGCAACTGCTTCACCATCTGAGTGAGATTTCTCAGCCTCTGGGAGGGTAATGTGCAATTATTGTTCTTCAATGACTCTGCAGAACCTAGAAGCTCAGATTTGACTCAAAATCTGAATAAGATTATCAAATAGACTCTTGTTTTTTATATGCTACAACTTAGTACTTGCTATTTTACAAATTAGTACTTGGATAAATATGACAAATGCAATCTATTGTGTTTTTGCTGAGCAACTCTGGTATTGCTCCCCCAAAGAAACATACCACACCTCAAGGCAACCTGAATGCTCTCTGAGGTGCCCTTGGGTCAGGACAGGTCTTGGCCCTGTCTTGAGGCCAGCCCGGGTTGCAGCCTTGCCCCCCACTCTACCCTCATCTCTAGGTATTCCTTAAGTCCCTAGAGAATAACCGGCCTAAGGACAAGCGGAAACAGGCCTTTACTGAGATGGATGTAGTGGTTTGGAGTAGGAAAGCCCCTTGGCTTGAACAAGCCCTCTCTGCGCGGCCACATCCATGCGCCTTGCAGAGGGGCTTGGGACTAATTGTGAGATTCTGGCACGGAGACTCCAAGGATCAAGTCCTCTTAAGTCATTTTTTGCTTTTTCCCATTTTCCTCACTGATAAACACCAACTTTCCTTGCAGGCGACTTTCTTCACCCCAATGTTGTACACATCCTGGTATGCTCATATCTTAGATATCATGGGTGATGTGGACGGGAAAATGGGATGAAAATCTTTACAACAATGCCCTTTTTTGAATTTCAAGTTGCTTTATGTTGTGAATACAGGCTGTACAGTGGGGACCACCCCCTTTTTTTTGCATTGCTTTAAGTGTTTTTGGAGCCGTCAGGCTATCAAACACTATGTCATATGTCCAGCACCAGTAAAACCCCTCTGGCTGTGTCAGGGGAAAGGGTTGCTGTTGGCTGTTTCACAGGGCAGATATATCTAAATAACAAAATGTTGCAAGCTACTCGCATCACTCGAGTTTGGTTATCTGTTGCTCGGTCCGAGTATTTGGATTTTGTTGTTCAGTTTGTTTCTCTTATATGTACTTTTTGTTTCCACATCTTCTATTGTCCAATTTCACTTTGTTTTTTGTTGACTCGGACCTTTTGAAGCAAGCAGTTTTCTCACTTTTTGAAAAGCAAATGTTGTTTATTACTGCATTTGGCACCACATAGCTTCTTTCCTTGCTCCGATTACTCCTACATATCTTTGAATTTTCCTTACTTGTAGTTGAAAAGTAACTCAATTCAATCAATTGTCCATGTATTTTGCCCAATGAAGTATTAGTTTTTTGGTCTCTTGGTCTATATGGTGAACCAATTAGCCTCCCCCTGCTGAGCCGATCACTACCACATGTTTATTGGCCTTTCATGTTTGTTGATTCAAGGGTCCACCTAATTGTGTTTGGGATCTGTTTGTTTGATTTCTCATTCTCATTGAACCACCAATTGTTGTTGTCTTTTGTCTTTTTGTTTCTTTGTAGATTGGAAGTTGTGCTTTTATAACACTGGTCACCCACCATTTTTACCACATATGCTTAGCCAGTAGGCTATAAAATGGCCTATGCTTTGTTGGTTTTTTTGGTCTCCACTTTGATTGGACAACCCTCCTCCTATCCCTGTCACTATTTTGCCAATATATATTTGCCCATTTTGCTTATTTGTATCAACTCCATTCCCGTTAAACAACAAACCCATGCATCCCTTGATTTGTAGACTGCAAGAATAAACCTATCTAACCGTCAATCGTTTTTCAGTTTATTAGTGAAGGTTTCAGACACTTTTGTATGTTCTGTCAACTCTGCATCGCGGGAACCTTACACTACTGAGGTACTAAAACATTTGATAGTCAAGGGGGTTGAAGTGGAATCTTCCTTTACAAATCTGGAGGCGGGGTATCAATGCTTTCTGTGTCTTGTTCACTTGATTAAGGGTCACCAGGAATAGATTAACTTCCTCTGCTTATAAGGGTTTTTATAATGGTCAAATAGGGGATTTTATTGTACTCATGATATTTAACCTGGAATTGATTACCCTCCATATGTATAGGGGAGTGAATATGAGTTGGTGGTGACAATATGGGAAGCTTTTGATAGCAAAGTGTGGTTAAACATGATATGTTTTAACCTATACAAGTGGGTTTTTGTATTTGATTTTGTAGTAAACGGTAACTTGGAAACAATCAATTGGAGTTGTAAATTGTTCTCCTGTTGCGCGCATGCGCGCATAGTGTCTAGTAGCTTGAAAAGGATCCTCAAGCGTTCACGAATGGAGGATTCTTCCAGGTTGATCAGTGATAGAACACATGTACAAAGTTTTTCCGAAGAACTTTGCCTGCAAGGCAAAGTGTTGTTTATCAGTGAGGAACACCGGAAAAGTCAAAAACGACTTAAGAGGACTTAATCCTTGGAGTCTCCGTGCCAAAATTTCACAATTAGTCCTTATCTGCGAGGCGCGCGGATGTGGCCGCGCAGCACAGCCAACAAAGATGCCTCGGATTTTTCAATCAGAGGGATTGTTCAAGCTACAGCCATTCCAAGAATCATCAGTAGTTTATGGTCAGTTGTGAGCGTTGACAGGTTTTGTCCGAATGTCCAAAACTTTGGACAAAACCAGTTTTGGACCTGAGCCCTGGTTCCCACGTTCGGACATCTCTTTGACACTGCCATACTACTTACCCACGTACATCCAACACTTCATCAATTCAGTCTTGACAAAGGCTCCCACCTCTGAGTTCTTAGAAACGTCAGACAGATCGGCAAGGCTCATCAAGGCCTTTCCTTTCCAACCACCCCTCGGTTGTCCTTCCTTCCTCCTTTTGAGTGCACTCATCTAACCCTTTCGAGTGCACTCATCTAACCCAGGCTATCAACGGTATGTAGTGTACTTCTTTCGACCTTCAATCATCTTTGTGGAACAGACCTTTGATTGATAATATACCCTTGTTTTTATTATGGATTCTAGGTGATATCGGACAGACTCGGCTTATGTAAATGGAAGCATCGAATCACATTGAGTTCAACAACGACGCTTTCTTACAAGATTCAACTACTCAATCAATCACCCGTCAGCAACTGGTTTCAAATTTCAAAGATTCCAACCAAGAAGGTCCCTAATTTACCATTTATCTCGACTATAGGTCTCCGGTCTGCTACCCGTTTCAGAGTCCAAAGATTCCCAGCAAGAACGTCTCTTCTCTAATTCGAAAATTCAGTTTCTCCAATCAAAACTCTTAGGACCCTCAAACTTAGTTTACTTTGTTCAGTTTTTCTGCAGCTCATCTCACTCAATCCTCACTTTGATTCCAAGCAAGAACCTCCCCAATTCTAATTATCTCGTCGACCCATTCAGTGAAGGATTGAACTCAAGATTCCAAGCAAGAACCTCCCTAATTCTAGCTGTCATTATCTCGACGACTAATTCAGTGAAGATCAAGCTCAAAGATTTCAAGCAAGAACGTCTCTATTCACTTTTGTTGACGTCTCAATCACTCCCTGAAAGCTTGGCACCGAAGTTTCTCTTCAAGAACAAACCTCCTAGCTTCTTACAAGCTGTGTCCTACCGGCTCAATTTATTTAATTTGGCATCAAGTCAGTTTTGAATTTGTGCGGAATCAAAAATACTCGGGATACTGCCTACACTGACCCACAACCGACGATGCGAGGTCATTTGGCTATAAAAGGACCTCGATCTTGGGGCGAATTTGATCTTTTTGCTCATCAGCTCACTTCAGATTTGATATTTTTCGTAGTTACTTACAAAATTTTAGCAACTGTTAAAGTTTGCACTATCATATATAACTGTCTATTCCTCATCTCTTTAAATCACTCATCGAATCTCTTCAGCAAGTCATCTACCAGATCACTCGTATCAGTTTGTGGCTTGTTTTTTTGGGTCTATCTACCTGGACGCAAAAGGGGTGTGAAACTCATTTGCTTTTATTTCTTTGTTTATGTTCTTTGGTTAGGTCATGTCGAACTCCAAATTGTCTTCTGGTTTCGTTTCTTTGCAAACCGAGCTGTCGATCAATGATGTTGTACCGGAAACTCCTGCTCCTGCGGAAGCGCCAGGCACTGGTGTCAACGATCGTAAGCTACACATGTCATTTCAAATGTGTGTCACGTACCAAGCTAACCAAGAGCCTCACCTCTTCAGTCTGGGAACCAGATACTCCTCACCTGATTGGAGATGATGCTCCTGCGTTACCGGCCGATCCCTTATTTCGGGTGGGTACCTTTGAGCGTGAACAGTTCGATCACCGGTACCAGGTTGAGATCCAAGTCTTGTTCAAGATACACACGGAGGCGGAGGTTGTCCTTGATAACCCGGTTGCCAACGTTTCGAGAAAGACCAAGGCCAAGCCTTCCGGCCGCCGATCCGCTGCCACCACCGTCGACGTGATTGATTCCAAAGTGTTTAATAATGGGGTGACCTTATTATTACGCGCTTGCCTTTATGGCAAGTGCCTGAAGGAGTTCAGGGAAATGTGCGCTGACATCTGCAATTCATACGCACCGGGTATGAAGCAAATGATCTTGCATTCGGATGTAGCTGGTAATTTAACGTGGAAGACCACCGTCGGACGTGCTCCGCCCATCGTACTTCAAGACCACTTGAAGTACTTCGACTTTGTCAACAAAGTCAGCCATTCAAACACCCGGAGGGCCACCCTCTTGATTCATACGGAGTCCTCCAAGCTTGCTGCAAAGAAGCAAGCCAAGGTGAATATTGGCTTTTCTCTCATGTCTTTTTCTCCAACTGAATTTGATGTTTAATCACCTTTTTAGGCTACTGCTGCCAAAAAGCTTATTGCTTCGACCAATGGGCCAGCAGCTGTTGCTTCTGAGCTGGCCGATGCAAACTTGCGTCTCGAGGTATGTGTTATGTTCTTATTTTGTTGTGGTATCACGAAGGTATCTAATCAAAGAAATTGTGAACAGGAATCCGAAAAAAAAGTCTCTCTCCATGTGACCACTGCCGAACTGTTCAACTACCATTCAGATACCGGAACTGCAGGAGGTGATGGTGCCATTCTCACCGCTCCTTGGGACCCTAACTTTCAATATCGATTTACTTTGCACTGTGCTTACATATGGGCAAAATGTATTGTAAGTCTGGATCCTTGACTTCCAAACTTTACAAAAACAATCCTAATACCCTGATCATGTTTGCGCTACGTACTTACAGGGGCAAGGTATGGCAACCAAGCACATGGCGCCTAACACACCCGAATACCGAACCAAGATGAAGAAAACCCAAGTCCTCCATCCTGGCACTAAGCTCAAAGACCGACTTAAACTCAGATTTTCTAACGGTCGATTGGGTAAGATTCGCTCTCGCAGTCGTAGCCCCTTGAACAAGGGGATTTGTATCGATTCTCCATCCAAGCAAGGTGGCAAGTCCAAGAGCTTGGGCTCACCTCGCCGTCGTAGTCCTTTCAAAAGGCCAGTGTTTTCCGATTCACCATCCAGGAAAGGTGGCAACAACCAAGTGTTGGGGTCATCTTCCAAGCCCCTGGTCAAGACCCGCTCCGGTAAGTTTTCAACATAGTCTCTATTCATCAAGTTGTTTTTATTAACCTTATGGTTGTTTCGGTTAGATGACGCGTTATCTGTCAAGAAGGATGAGTTGTCTTCAGGTCAGTCTATTCCTGACCACTATGTTAGGGATAATAACCACTGACGTTTATCGTTCTTTCTGACTTGCCGTTATTTCTCCTTCAATCCAGACAACATTGATGTCGCACTTCATTTCCCTAAGAAACTTGTTTATCCTGAACGCCCTGAGCCCTCAGAGTCTAACGTTGATATAAAGTTGGAGTCTGGTAAGTTTTCTCTTGAAGTGACTCCATCAAAACGGATTTGACTTTGATGACTTGTATTTATTCTTTATAAACCAGATGACCCCGATATCACAATCAACAGCCACCAGAAGGTTCATTATCCACCTCGAAGCCCATCCAAAAAGCGCCGTGGTTTTGAGGATGAGCGCAAGACCGGTGGGTCTTCATCCAAAAAGAAGATGAAGATGGAATCAGGTGGGTGAAGTTCTGATGATGCCTCTGACGTATTGTATCAGACTAATGATTTCTGATCTTCATCTATGTGCCAACCAGACGATGACAAGTTCCAAATCCATTCAGGTTTGTGATTTATTGTCAGTCCTCGATATGGTGGTGAAACTGACCTTTGCTTACCATTTCTGTCAGACGGATTCCATCCTCCAAAGGACCAATTTTTTTGGATCACTGATTCCGACGCGGTTTATTCAGACCCCGTTGATTCCAATGACGAATCTGCCATGTCCAAAGCAAATACTGATGAGCTTGAGTTCCTCCAAGCTCATGAGGCTGACTTGGATATCTTTGTGAAAGCTTGCGGCATCACAAAGAACTACGACCGCGTTCGAAATCGCCTTATCAACTCTGGTATCCAAACTTGGAGCGATTTGGTGCCAGGTGTCAAGATGACCGCGGCCATTTTGATGGAACATGGTTTCAATCGTCAACTCGCCGGCCGCCTTTTGGAAAAGGCTCAAGAACGTTATGATCAAATGAATGGTTAGTCATCCCGACCAATCCTTGCCATCAGTATATACTGACTCACTCTTCCTCCATCCAGCCTGATTCTGTGTAGTAGTTATCAGCACCTATCGAGAGTGAATGATGAAGAGTTTTGCTATCTTCTGCGTAATTCGATTTTTATAGATCGGTTGGTTACCATATCAGAATGTGATATGACTTTCACATTACTCTGGTGCTTCCTTTATCCTCTCACAATTCATCATTAAGTTTCTTTATATGATAGTCACCTTCACAAAGGGTTGGACATCAGAACTTGTAAAACCGACAAAAAAAATATTCAAAAATGCCTTTGACTTTATCTCCCTTTCTGATTTCTATCTCCCTTTCTGATTCCTCTCGTATTATGAGATGGTAACTTCTCAAAGCCTTGTTGGACATCCAAACTTGTAACACCAACAATGTTTTTTTCCATAAACAACTTTGACTTTATCTATCTCCCAATGTGATTGAACTTGTGTGATCCAGATTCGCGTGTCTTTTCTTGATTCCCCTCACCCCTGATTTTTTTCGTATTACGGTATTGTGTAAATCCGCAATTATTAAATTTCAGTCTCCACCCTTTGACTTTGTCTATCTCCCTTTCTGTTTTATCTCGTATGATCCAGATTCCCCTCGCCCCTGATGTTTTTAGTATTATGGTATTGTGTAAATCCGCAATTATAAAATATCAGTCCCCAAAAAGTGCCCGTCCATTCATTGGTTGAAAATTTGGCCCCCTCCACCTGCCCTGTTATCTTCGATTAGATCTGAGAGAACATATTATTCAATCATTATATATTGGATAATAACATGTGAATGAAACCCAAAGGTATACTCAATGAAATAGGAAATTTTTGGCCTGTTGAAACAGCGTCTTCATTTCATTTTTAATTAATAATTCCAAAAAGGGTAAAAACTATCATGTGTCTCATGTGGCTCGTCTCTGGGTGAGTTTCAAAAACAAGGCAAAATAAATCAAATAATATTTTATTCTCAAAGATTTTTCTCAAAGAGTTTTGGAAAACATGCAAACTGTTTTGAATAATATTTTATTCTCAAAAAAAAATCATGTCTCGTTTAAAATAAACAGAAGAACTGAACGCGTGACTTGGATAATCTTGTAATTTGTGTTTGATACTGAAACAAAAAATAATCATGTCTGATTTAAAATACACTAAACAACCGAACGCCTCTGACTTGAATATATTTGTAATTTCTGATTGACTAGCCCAATCAGCGGCGGGCGCCGCACAGCTCTTGCTCTACCACTCAAACACTTCCTGATCTTCAGTACATTGCAACAAACCACACAGATGCCATACATGGTCAGCTTGTATGACTGATCTTACAGCCCTTGAAGCAGTAGCCACATGATTACCTTTCATATGTTTGCTTTGTCTTGTGATAACATCTCCCTTGACAACTCCTTGATCTTCACACATGGACTCTAAATTTTTGAATTTGTGTCTCATGGACTCCCATTTACTGGAACATTTTTACCAACACAAAACCCCTCAGGGACACTGTGTTCTCACCAAGTCATGTCACACTTTTTCAACGTGAAACTCAACCCCTATGTTGTTCACACTGAAGGCAAGCAAAGTAAATTGGAAGTAAATGCAAAAAAATAGATCTTCATTTTTTTATTTGATATGACTAAGATTGCTCTTGTGCTTTACAACTCATGTATGTGCAAACATCATTCTCTGCTACAAAGAATGAATTGACCTGAATCATTTCAGCTGCCTTGATTATCAGTCTTGGTCAATGTATTTCAAACAAATTTAATGAAATTGTACCAGTCAATCTACAAACTTTGTGACTTCCAGATTTACTGAATTTTCCCACTAATTCCATTGAGACATGATTTTTAAAGACCAAATTAGAGATCCAATAAACTTCTTCATCTTCTATTACAAACAAATCATCTTGATCAATTTCATCTATTTTGTTTTGTTTAGACTGGTTCTGATGAGTTGCTAATTTACGTAATATTTCAGTGACTTGATCTTCTTCTGATTGAGTTTCTTTAAACAATAAGAAGTTTTTTGTGATTGTTGAAAATCCATAAGCAATTGAAGTATCCACATTTGACCATCTTGATTTTGATTTGCAGCTTTTTGAGAAATTGCTTCATGAAACCTCTTTAACATACAATCTTGATTCAAAATTAAAAGTTTTCTACTACACCCTTTTTCACTAACCAAAGCCAATCCTTCAACAGTAAATCCTAAAGCATCTGGACAATTTGAATGGGATCCACCAATTAATATCCTAACTATTTTTCTAAGTGTAGGGAGATCATCATCATCTAAAGGTCTGTCACTAACTTTTTCAGTAGCAGTGATTTGTAATTTAATGAAAGCTAAAGAAGCCGCAAACCTAGTCAGATTAAATACATAATTATCGATTCTTCAAAGAGCTAGAGACGTAAATTATTGATAACCATTTGACCATTCAGTGCTGATCAATTCTTCAATCAGTTTATGAGTAGTAGTTAAAGCCAAAAACGCAGAGATTTCAAAATTGATATCAAATTCCGTTGATTTTGATTTCGATTTTGAAAAAGAAATGCTAGATAATTCAATTAAATGATCCAATTGATTCACCTTGATCACCTGAGTTTTAGAAACCAATTCGAGTCCACAGAATCTACTCGATCTAAAATCGAATTTGATACAAAAGTCGCAGATCAATGTAAGAGTTGATTGGTTTTTTCGTGCTCTGATCGTTTGTGCCAGTTTCGAATTCCAAGTGTAGAAATCCTAGAAACACAAAAGAGGAAGTCAGTCAACTTAATTGAGAATCTTTCAAGAAATCCTATTCATGATCAGTTTGACTTACGTTCACTTGAGAAGATTGTTCTGGAGATAGGTTGGAATGAGGAGTGGTGCCAAATATGGACTTTGTTGGGATGAAGTGAACCCGAGATCAAATAAAATCAAGGGTGTAGCCTTGGCAAGACATCATTGAACTTCTTTAGAAGAATGCAATAATCGATTGTAATCTATTCAAAACAAAACAAAAAAGTTCAAGATCAATTGCAGCAATGAAACCTCTTGATGGTGTTGTTGAATAATCACCTGAACCCCATTCTCCTATAGATAATACTTTCTGTTTGGAAGTTTCTAATTCTTGATCAGACTGAATCAACTCTTCAGGTTGATGAATCGAAGCATGATTGGTCCAAGGGAAGTGGGAGGTGTTCATCAGAAACACTTTGATCAGAAGACCTTAGAGATCGATGCAAGTGCAGACATAGGTTGATTGATGGAGAGCAGCTCTTCCGGACTGTTTTGAATCACAAAAACAGTGATATCAGTATTGGAATCTCAATTGATTGAGAAAGATGACAATAAGAGAGTCGGTACTATTCCCACCTTAGTATAAGGACTGAGAGCAAACGAAAGGAAAGCCAAAGTGAAGAGATGGTCAGTTCGAATTGATTAGTAAATTGATTGATTGGAATCTTACTCACACCATGAGATGATTCAATTGGGTTATGAGTTATGAAATTTTGTTGATGATAGGTTTGATAGTGTTTTTGATGATTTTGATGATATATTGAACAAATCATATATCCAAGTTGAGTAGAAAGGAAATTTGCGGTGTGATTTCAGATGTTTCCTTTCAACGTTATTTCCAGCTTTTGAGCTTTTCAGACTTTTTGACCACTCATTTGGATTTGAAAACTAAAAAACTAAATCAAATCAAATCAATGATATTGAATGGAATATAGAGAAAGGAATGAAAAAGGTAAACAATGTTGATAAGAAAGTTCAACAACTGTAGTAGAACCTGAAAGACGATCTCCAGTGAGGATTTGTTGTTCAACTCCAAAATTTCTAGCCCTTTCAAGTATATCATCAAAATCATTTAGCAAAAACCAGTCTTGGTAAGTCAATGTTAAAACTGACCATCACGGATGTTTCATTGAACTAAGCTGAATAAACTTATTTTCCATTTAAACTCCACAAAAAAATTTGATCCGATAAATTGAACCATATCCGATCAAGAGTTAGTAAATGTAGTTATCATTGAATTGTGAACTATTTGTATGGTGGTTAGTAAGATTGGATGATCTCTTAAGTTGTTTATGAAGTGTGTTCAATTTGATTTGAAGTTGGTTTTGATACAAAATTAGTCAAGTTGAATGAGTCTGAATGAAGTTCATTGGAGCTTGAGTTTGAAGTTGAAGTAGATTTGTTCTGCTGAAAGTTTTGATGAATTTGTTCAAATGGATTGATTGATAACTACTTGGCTTGGGTGGTCTGATATGCAGCAAGTGGGAGGATAGTGTGAAGATTTATAAGTGGTGAAGAATCAATTTGATGAGGGCAGTGAGGAACAAATCTGGGGGGAGGCGCGTGGAAATCAGTTTAAGGGTGGTGAACGTGTAAACCTGGAAATTGGTAGTAGGGATTGGGAGTTTAATCAGGTTTTGCCGCCAAACACGGTTTACCTTTAACTTATATGATTATATGATATTGAAAATGAGAAACTTGGACAAATCATCTTTTGTGATATTCATCAAGACAAATGATTAAGCAAAACATGACATGCGACATCTATATTATAAATAGCTAGCACCTCGAAAGAGAGAATTGCATAAGTCAGGAGTGAATAACTCCATACAAGTTATAAACATTCTTGCCTCCTCTTCTTCCGCATTCAAACAGTTCTGCATCTCTTGAGTTCGCCGCAATCGAGCCTTGAGAGGCGAAAAACCCTTTTCAATTGGGTTGAAGTCTGGGCTGTAAGGAGGAAGATAGATGAGTCGCACACCACGTGCCGCACAAAGGGCGGCCACGTTTCCTCCGTGGTGAATTGGAGCGTTGTCCAAAACTAGGACACTGTTGCGCTGAGGCCACGGATTCATTGCAGGTAACTGTGAGGGCGTTGGAGTAGGTCAGTATCAGAGTGATATTATGCGCACACTAGTGGATCAAAAGCTTACTAAATTGTGTTCAACAAAATCTTCAAAATCCAAACGATTGTAACCACCCCTCTTGATTTGAACAGCGAGGATTCCATCCAGGGAGATTGCGGGTAAGACTGACCAGCGAGTGGCATTAGTGGGCCTCTTGAGCCTACTGGTTCGTTCACCAAGCGGCGCTCTAGCAAATTCACGATAGAGACGACGTCTGCTGATGGCGGTTTCATCTGAAATCCCAAAGAGCATACCAGGTCCGTTCATCAATTATAAGACATAAGTGATCAATGAAAA